ATAATAGATATGTTCACTGTTTCAAAAATAAAAAATATTGAACACATGACTCACTGGCCGATGTGCAACAGCGGACTTATGACTGCATCGAAGCTGCATCGTGCGTTGACCTGTAACATATAAATAAAATCCAAAATGCAGCAACGTTTCAAATAATTATTATTTCATAAATTATTATTGTGTGGAAATTTTATATTCTATGCAAACAATCATCAGTACAGACTAATTGAGTAATTTATACATTTTTTGTAAAGATTATATCTTTATAAGATTTATATGTATATTAAAAGAGTTATTTCTATCTAATTTTTTTTGTTTAAATTATTCTATAGAAATTGTATGTTTTATAACAAGTATTACAATATAATATATTTATTACAATACTCAATATTATTAATATTATTATAAAAAATATTTGATATTTATTATATAATAATTTTATATTTATAATAATAATAATTTAAATTAAAATATTTAATAGTCAAAGAATTTCATTACGCGTTGCATAAATAATTATATCTCTTAAACAGAATATAATCTAGAAATTGTATTTTACAATATAGAAATATTTATTATTACAATATAAAACTATAAGGTCATCAGACGATAATTAAAAAAATGGTAATGATTTAATCGACCAACTCTGGCAAATAAGTAATTTTATTGAATTTCACAACGGCCGTAAGTAAATCACAACTTTTTAAAAAACAAAAATTCGATCTTAGAATATGACATGATATAATAACATGATAGTATGAAAACGAAATAACTAAATAAAATAACTTGATAGTTATTTCATTTTCATACTATCATGTTATTATATCATGTCATATTCTAAGATAAAATTTTTGTTTTTAAAAAGTTGTGATTTACTTTGTTTTAAGAACATAGCACTTGATAAGAATCGAAACCCACGGCCGAAACGTTGTAAAATTCAATAAAATTACTTATTTGCCAGAGTTGGTCGATTAAAATCATTACCATTATTTATTATTACAAATTATTACAAATTATTAAATATTTTAAAGTATTTTCAAATATAAAATCTAGAATATTTTACATTTTCATTATCATAAAACAATGTAAAATGTGGATCATTATTGCAATAATAAATGGATAATCTCACAAATAACAAATGAAAAAGTTAAATAAACTATAAATTAGATTTACCTCATCGTTGCTCTGTCGTTGCCTGATGCCTCCCCAGACCTCCTTCTTTTTCCGCGCCGTTCCTTGACGGCACTCACTCGCGAATACACGGTTAATTACTATCGTACGGCACTCCCGATTTTAATTACACGCGACACGCACTTTATTACATTGCGACGAGACAATACGAAACAATTACCTACTTAAAATACGATCCACACGGCCGAAAAACTCAGGAAATTCGCGTCGAGAGCGCGCGGTAATTCTCGCGATAATTCCAGCCCCTTAAATTCGCGCGCGCAAATTTTCGTCGCCACGAGGTTACGCGCTTGGTAAATATAATTTATAATTTATTTAACTTTTTTATTTGTTATTTGTGAGATTGTCCATTTATTTTTGCGATAATGATTCACATTATATTGTTATATATAATAATGAATGTAAAATATCCTATAGATTTTATATTTTGAAATACTTAGAATATTTAATAATAAATATAATAATTTTTAATAATTTTCTAATAATAATATTTGTATATGTAAAATACATTGAATTATATTTAAGAGATATGTATAACTATTTATGTAATGTGTAATTAGATTCTCTTTATATTATTAAATATTTTAATTAAAATTATTATTACATAATATAACAAATATCGAATATAATATTTTGTATAATAAAAATTATAATAAATATTAATAATAATAATTAATATAATATTAATAATATTGAGTATTGTAATACACTATATGTAATATTTGTTATAAATTTATATACAATTTCTATAAAATAATTAAAACATAAAAGAATTAGAGAGAAATAATACTTTTGATATAAAAGTTCTTAGAAAAGTTCATATTATAAAAGATATAATTATTAAGACAAAATTTATAAAATTACCCAATTATACACGTACTCATGATTGTACGCATCGAATATAAAATTTAATGGACACAATAATAATTTATGAAAATAATAATTATTTAAAGCGTTGCTGTAATTTAGATTTTATTTATATGTTACAGGTCAACGCGTGTAGTTTCGGTGCAGTCATAGTCCACTGTTGCACATCGGCCGGTGAGTCATGTGTTTTTTCAATATTTTTCGAAACGGTGAACATATCTATTCTTAGAATTTTCCTATATTTTACTCTTTTATTTTTTTAAGTTTTAATTATTAAAAACAATAACTAATTTTTTCTTAATTGTGCGAATATTCAGTAGGAGATAATAATAAATTGTTTACGTGTTTTCCAAAATTTTGACATCTTTTTAACAAGAAAGAAATGTTGTATTTAACACAATTTAAAGAAGCATCTCATACAAGGTACGTAATATAATATACAATATACATATATATAATATATGTTTATCGTGACTTATTAACTTCAAGTATAATTCTCGTGTAAAACGAGCTTTGAGCGTAAAAGTCGTAATTGTCGCGCAACAATAAGCCTTTTTGCATCTTGTATATGCAGTAGTTTTAGTTATAAGCTGACCAAACGGAGCTGAAAACATGTATTTTCGTATGATGCAGAAAGACATTGGGCATCAGGCGATGTCAAAAGATATTATATGACATGATATATTTCATATTATTACCAGCTGACAATGAGTGAAATACGAATCTGAAGTCTTTAGAAATTCTCTCTGACAGTTACTCGATAAATGCGATGCAGGCGAGGCTGCAACGGCGACGCTCGCCTGATAATCGATTGAACATCTGTTCGGTAGACTGGAAGTGCCTGATACTCTCTCGAGAAGAGGTAAAAGTGACGCGCAAGCACGACGTTTTCTCGTCACGGAAGCGGAAAGTGGTACCGATTTGTACGAACCAACGGAAACGTCGTCCTTGCAACGCAACGAACGAGAATAAAAATCCGCGCATAAGTGTCGCGAAATATCTTCACTTTGAAGAAGACTTTCCCTGCATCGCGTAATCTCATGTTCGTACTCCACAAGATGCAAAATTAACAAATCTTATATGCATCTTTTTTACGCGAAATACTTCATACAAATCAAAATAATCGCTTCATAAATATTAATTAATATGTACATAAAATATGTCAAAAAAGTAATATGCATATCAATAAATATGCAATTTCTACAATTAAATACAATTAGTGAAAGCGTTAATTCTATAAAATATTTTCTCACTCGTAAAATTATTCTTTTTCCGCTTAGAATCACAAGTGATTTTGCTCCACGTGTGTCAAACAGCATATATTAACGTTCTCTACATACTTTCAAATTTTCTCTAAGCTATCTAACACGTGGCTCCAATTAGTTAACTTCGGAATAAATAAACGGATCTCATTGTCAGTGGATCCCCACCAGATCTTTATCTTTTTGCACGAATATACATCTTACACAAATCATGTAATCGAATCTCATGCGTGATGTCGTAATGTCATGATGAATTTCATGTCGACCAAACCTTAAATAAAAAATCTTTTACCTATTTTACAAAGAGGATTATAGCGATATGTCGTAATTTTTTTTAAGTTTAACTATAAATACTGTCCTTGCACGCAAATTAAAGCTGCATGAATAATTAGTGTTATTTTAATGCTGTACATATGCGATTATGTATTTCACGCGGATATCCTGTCTCATTCGCTCTGAAATGTTTTCACTTAGAAATAATTAGCAGCAGAAATAATTATGCGTGAAAATACGCTATTGAGCTGCTGTTTGTGATACGTTAAATTGCAATTATTGACAATAAATATGTTTAAATCGAAAAGACAAATACAAAATAATATTAATTATGTCCTTTAATAATTACTAGTCTAGATATGAATTATTCAATTATTATCAATGTAAATAATATTGGTCCAATTCAATTTGTATAATTCGTATTGAATTAACTATACTACAATTAAAACAAAATTGTTCTTGAAACTGTTGGAAGATCATAAATAGAAATTTTTGGAGCTTTCTCTAAATAGAAATTTTTACAAATTTTTATAATAAACCGTTTTATAATGAAAATGAACCGTTTATAGTTTCCAAAGAATCTGAATATTTACAACTGCTGCAATTTCGAGATATGAGGTTACTAATAATCATACAGCACAAATTATTCCGAGACAACTATTGTACATGCATAATTATTTAATTGACAATTTACTTTAATTTTAACAGTGACTATAAATAGTTGTGCTTCCTTTATGTCCACTTTGCTTGTAACTAAGATTAATATTCGTGTTTTTCCTGGGATTATTAATGCACGACATAGAGCAGACTAGACTTTCGTTATATATTATAAGACACAGTTTCTCCGTCCGCAAAGATCGAGTGAGAGTCCACGTATAGTTGAAGGTATATATATATATATATATATATATATATGTGTGTTGAATATTCCGGGCGCGTTCAAATAGTTGCAGGAAACTTTCGTAATTACCAATACACGAACGCGAGTAATGCAGGGCCCGATAGTAATTATCGTCGTCGTGTGAGCGTCGTGCACCACAGATTTCGTCGCGGATAAGAGGGCTGCCTGTCGTGTTTATCATTTTATTGGCAAATTTCATTTCTGGACGAGATCTACTTGGGAAACTGAAAGGTTCTCAGTGTTGTGTTTCGGAATATCTAGATACTTTGCGCGATTAAAAGTGTCGTAAAACAATTACTATAATGATTATCTGCTCTAATAAAAATTTATTGTAATCGATGAACTTTTAATGATAAATGTAACATAGTAAAGTTAAAAATTTTTGCATTTTAATTTATTTTACAAGATGCGCGTATAAAACTTTTAATTGTGATAAAGGATATACAGTAATGAGAAAAATGCGATATATAGACAGCTATTTTTTATTTTATTCATAGCTTACATAATATTTACATGTTTCTTACAAAAATTTTTACAAAAATCTTCTAAGATCGACTGTTTGTGTTTTTGCGAAGAATTGTGTAAATGCGAACTAATTATTCCTAGAATGCAAACATTTTTTCGGCACTAGATGTTAATACGCTGCGGATTTACGCATATTTTTCATTTGGCGTACGTACACCGCGCGATCAAAGCATACGAATGCGGAATAAATTAGCCGAGAAATTGAACGCGATAGATGATATATGTATATAGAATGTATCTTGCGTTAAAAAAAAATCGCGGTTAGATTACACGGAAATGAAAGCAACACCTTTATTAAGATTCGCGCCTCTGATCCATTTCTCTCTCACTCTGCGTGTGTGTGTATCGTAATCTATACCGTATTTACATACGACGTTACGTATTACTTGTCAAACTGCATTGTGCAACTGCAACTGCGACTGTAAATATTTCGAACACGGATCGCGATTTCGGGATCGTAAACGCCCCTTATTCTCCCCGAAAGAGGCCATATCTACACTTAATTAAATCGCCATTGCAGTCGCAATAAATAACTTACCACCACTCGGCAAAACATACCGTCGGGTTTAATGATTTTCATAAATTCAGCCGAGCGCGAACCCGCTTATATTTACCGGTCTTGTTCTTATAATCGGATATCTCGACTGTGAATACTGAAGCGGATCGCGGCTCAGCCTCGCTCGCTTTGTTAGGATTGCACTGTCGTACACAATGCTTTTCAGTTCCTATTATAATTGTACACGCCTTAACGTTACTGCCACGCAAAGGCGCGAGTATATACCCGTAATATAATGCACCATAAAATACAAGACTTGTACTTTCGTAGACTTCATTATATGCAGACAACGGACGTTTTTGTTGCCGTATACGGGGTTATCGCGGCGATTAAATATCAAGACCAGAGGAAGCAGGGAACGTAATATCAATTTCGATATTAATGAATTTGATATAATAGATTGATTTTAAGTAATCTATAATGTTTTATCAAAGAGATAAGAAAATGTGGATTTCATTTATCCTCTAACGCTGTTTCGTAAAATTTTCACTTTTTGCGTTAATACTTTATTTTCTAACTGTTCTTTCTAAATTCATGTTTTATCGCATCCTTACATTATTCTATTTGTATTGCACTAATAGTTTCTCTTATCTCGAGAACTTTACGTAATCCCAGTAAAGTTCACGCAAGATAAAAGTATTCTCACGCCTCTAATTATATAAATAGAAAAGCTATTGTTAAAATATTACTTTAGACTTGTTTTTCTTTCAATGGCCACATATTATTGCGTAACGCTGATCTATAAATTTACCACATTTTTTCTCAATAGACTCCGTGATGTCCAAAATCTTGATCTCCTTTATGTTGTCATCTTTTCGTTATCGTTCGACATTTAGTAGTAGAAATACGTGTAGTAACCTGCAATACATAGATGAAAAATCAATTTTTGAAATCAGAATATTTTTAGAACATTTGAATATTGATATCAAAATGATATTTCAATTAATATCAGAATGATATTATATATCAACAGAATAATTAATTATTAAAAGTATTTCAAAAAGAAATTGGAAATATTTAGACAAAAATCCATTTCTTAAATCAATTTATCGCTCGGATATATTCAATGTCATAAATCAAAGAATTATCTTGAATCAATTATCCTGCCTGTCTCCTGTTCCGCTTGCGAAACTGCAAGGAAGCACGAGATCAACTTTTGCTTTTCCAACCGCTTGTACTTCCGCTCTCGGGATGCTTACGCCGACAGATTCCAGCAGATTCTTTGTCATCGTCGCATCGCGCTAAAATCGCTTTTAAACTTTCTCGATTTTCCTTGCGCAATCAAATTCTAATTCTTTCTCTCTCTCGTTTCTCTCATTTCCCTTGTCCTTCGACATTCTCGCTCGCGACTACTCGTCCAACAGTCCGTGTGATTTCCATCTACGATTGCTATCGCCGAAAGCATTATTCGGCGTGCTAATGCCCGGAGCACCTGAACGTCGTTAATGAGTAGCGAAGGGTGATACCACTTCAAAGCTGCTAATTATAAGACCCTCGTCACCTTGTCTCACCACCCGCCATGGCAACACTGACCCCATCCCTTTCGTTTCTACCCTTTGATTAGTAGGTGCTCGCTTTTCCGGTCCCTGGTGCTCTCTCGGCTCTTTCTCTCTCTCTCTCACTTTCACACAGTACACGCGTGCGTTGCCAAGATTCTACGCAGTATGTCGATAATAAAGTCGACCGCGAAACGAACGGGGGATTCGAATGGAAGCCATTAGGGGACCGAAAGGAGTCTGCTAGTTCTGATTATAGTCAATTTAAACGTCCTAACAATGAATGGTAGTGTTCAGAAATAATTGTCGGTAAATGGGCGGCAAATCCGGCTTAAAAATGAATTGAGGTGCTCAAAACGCGTATTTTTATTATTCCTTCGTATTGCTTGAAAAATTGCTGTTGATTTTGTATTACAAAAAAATCGTCCAAAAATGATAAAATATTCTCTACATAAAATAGAAATGTAATTAATTTATTTAATACATGATCATAAATATAATTAAGTATCTTGCATGTTAAAATGATATTGGCAGAATAATATTGACATTATTTACAATTGATTGTTCAAAAGTACTAGACCATTATTTTATATCGAGTCGCTATAAAACTTTTTTACGCAGTCGTGCGACATATTTTCATCCAAGTTCTAAATTAATGTCCCGTGAAAAAAGTATTTAACAGAGATATCGTTAAATTACGAGAGTTTGTACCCACAGGGAATACTGACGACGAGTTTTAGGGAAAAATCGTTTTTCACGCCCTTCTTCTTTCAACCCCAAATAAATTTCCGTCAAGGACGTCCAGAGGGGTCATTAGTTTTTGCGTGTTGCGTAATTAAATGCGGATCATCGGGTTTAATGATTATTATAGGAAACGAATGGGTCAAGTTTGATCTAGAACGCTTCCACTTTTTTTATTTTATTTGTTTGATCGCGCAAGATTTCCAGAATAGATCGTTATCGATATGAGATTATGTGTAATTGGCAGATAAAGATATTTACACGCAATTGTTTTTATCACGAATCTATCTGTTGAATTTTAGAAAACGGAAACGGTTGCAAAGATGAGTATTCATGAACGGAAGTTGCTCGCACGCGAGTTACAATCGCTTTCTGTTAACCCGATTAGCACGTATTTCAACCGTCTGTCATCGACTTCATTTTTCCCGGTAGAGAATTAACTTATACTTTACACTCGTTATCTGCTAAACTGATTAATCTTCAAAATTGTCCCGATGAAGCTGCTTCCCTAGCTACAACCTCAGATTTTCCTTTCAGGCTTAACCTTTCTCGCCCTTAATGCGCTACGACATTAATCATTTGATTGCCGAGATTTCTCTCTTGCCGTCGAGTTGCGTGTATTAACGAGTGCAAAATGCTATAAAAAATATACGAGATGTACAAGTCTTCTCTCGATATCCGGCTCGCGTTTCTCCATCCAGAGGAATTTATTCGCTCGCCATTCACTTCTTTCGCGTCGTACGCGAGTTTTAATACCGTTAGTAATCCCCCTCGTTAACTTTTATAGAGTTATACGATCCTGCGCATCATATATAGCGTTGCATTATATTCAGTTGTTGAGTAGTTTTCTCATTTAAACCCGCGCAAGACAACGAATATGTAAAAAAAGCAGAAATATATATTCAACGCAAGTAAATGTATGAACCTTTGTTCTTCGTCAAATCACAACCAGTCCTTATTAAATTGAGCAATTATTTGCCGACGGAAATATATGTCGAGTTATGGGAATATAAAGCTTTATTGCATCAAGAGACGATTGCAACAACATTGCCCACGCATTATTACGTATTACGTGGTTACGTTTTCTTTCTATGTTTTTTGCACTGAATTTCGCAGACGTACGGATTACGCAATCGAAAGTGTTCTCACTCCTCTCGTCGATCGATAATTACAAATTTGGCTACCTGACATTCTCAAATTGATCTTCCTAGAGACAGCCAGTAGAAGACGAATCCGTGACTAAAATCTGCCATTCTATTTCAAGACGTCACAACCATCTGTCACTAGCCGCAGGGAGAAACGTCATTTTATGATGACCATTATAATGTTGAATAATCTGTTTTTGCAATCATTTTGTTATTAGATAAACATTTTTATCGGCGAAATTCTTCCATGAATTATAACGTAGTATAAACGTGTTATATAATTCTTCCAATCGACGAGAGATACATACATACCTTATCTTTATGCATGCTGTATATTGACTATATGTCAACTTTCGCTTATGTTGAAAAAATTTAATTGACTGAAATTACGATTGAAAATCTGCGTTTCTCATTTAACACCATAATTTCGTGCGTTTCTTTAGAATTAAACGAGAGGAGACATGATTCACGCAAATGACAAAAAAATAAGTTGATCGAACTTGACCGCGCATGACCGTCAGTCTGATTCGGTGAAAGACGAGACTAAAGGAACGTTGATCTTTGCCTTTCGATCTCTGTCTCCCCAATCAGGGAGTTGCGTCGCCGATCAAAAGGCAACCTTGTCGTCTCGTCGACCTCGTAACACCTGTTACGCGCAATGGAGTAACTTAACTAAGGTTACGCGTAAAACGGGTTTAAACTACACACGACGAGGCCGCACATAGCGTCGAAATCGCTTTCACTGAACCGTCGCGGACGCTTGTGTTCCAAGGCTGAAGATTCATCGCGCGAGAAAACCGGTATCCAGCTGCGTTCGCGGAAGAAGGAAGTACAAAGTTCCACCTCACGCTTCTTTTCTCTCGTGGCAATTTTTTTCCCCCCTCTTCCTTCCTCTCGTGATGTCTCTCGTTATGCCTCTTGATGTGTCTATTTCGATAACGGTCGAGAGCAGGTGCGAAGGACGGCGCGAAAAAAATGAAAGCCGCGAAGTACGCTTAAATTACCGGAAGAGACACGCTGCTTTTATGTATTACGTCGCGGAAACCGAGGAGCCGATTACGCAAGGAAACCCGCATGCATGTTTTATGGTTCTACGGTATTTAGGCTTGAAATCGAATTTGTTCGCAAATATAGAAATACTCGATCTCACTTTGTTCCCGTTTCGAGCAAACGGATGACGGTAAACGGTTTGTCGGACGTAACTGACAAGGTTAATAAGATAAAGATCTAACGAAAGTTTTCATTTATTGCAAAAAAAATAATTCACGCTTATCATGTTATGAAACTATTGATAACGTCAGCGGAAACGTTTATTGAACACTTACGGAATCCAATTATGGAAAAAATATATATATATATCTTACTACACGTTAGATATATAATTTCTCTATAAACTTACCTGCGGGATATCATGTTATCTATCTGCTAGTGTGCATTTCTGGCATGCTGATGGAGATACATACGTATATGTTGCTGTGCACGTTACTAGAGAGTGGCTAAGGAACCCACGTACCATATATTAGTATTGCGTCTCGCTGTCGTGGTTCGCAATCACGAAATCGCGATCGCCTAATTTAATGGGAATCGTAAAGTAGAGGTGACGAACGAGACGTTGAAAGTTAAAGCTTAGCATGCTCGCAATTGCAATCGTCTATTCTAATGCTATCCCCACGTGCAGCCTCTCGAGGATGTAATGAGAAGAACTGATTAGCATCCTTGAACACTGAACGATGGGATATCATTAGCGCACTCGCAAAATGACGTACCTACTTGCCGAGATTCAAGGATCAAGGGAAGTAACGAAGTCCGACCTTCCAGATAATATAATGATAAAGGTAAAAATAAGGGAGGGGCCATTTCTGCGGTTTGCCAATCTGAGCTCGACACGATGGTCGTAATTACATAATTTTAATTTTTCATAAATCATTTTTTTTTGTTGTTACATAATATACAAAAGAGATCGAAATTTGTACAACGATTATATGCGTACGTCAGCTTTGCGACGATTATTTACTAGCTTTGTTTTTTATTTAACTTACAGTGAATTTATATATGTATATTATAATACCCTTAACAACTATAAAGATTGTTCACAGTTGCGCAATTTTCTTTTACAATGAAAGAAAAATTTCGTTTATCGTTTTAATATATTACGTTTGATTATAATATATTAAAATGCAATATTGCATTTGCACAATTTAATATCGCATTGAATTTTATTAATGATTTCGCATTGAGTATCATCAATGATTTAAGTTCGACGATGTCAATGAATCAGAAATTAAACGTCTCGTATTTTTTGCGATAAACTTGCATAATTGACTAAAATTCTTTACTTAATATTAGTCTCTTATAACTATTCCTTCATTGTGTGATATCATTGCTTTGGAATGTTAATATGTGTATTAGTTTTATGTGACTTTCCAAACGGTTCATAAAACAATATAATTATAGTGTTACACATGCACTACTTTGAAAAAAATTAAGAATAGAATTAAAGTTCGGGAGAAGGTTGTAGTGTATCATCGACCTGATTTACAGATGACAAAAATAAATAGTGCTTATATATAAGTTGGTGCAGAAAGTCGAACGAGGCACTACGTGATAAAAGATACTCTCTTTCCTCTTTCTCTATTTTCTTTTTTTTTTTTTTCATTCTGTTATCTTTCGCTTCGACAGCTTTTTGAATTACCTTACATGCAGAGATATTGTTCATATGCAGACTCGCCAATTCGTATTCCACCACCGATCCCTTTCAACTTTTTTGTAATTTTCTTTTTTTTTTTTAAATGCATCTTCGAATATCTTTTCCAATGCTCAGAACCTGGTGAACGAATTACCTGCGCTGGGTGGCACAAATCCATATCCGCTCGCGCCCACGACGACGCCACTGGTGTCAGCTGAGTTAGGCGGCGGCCCAGCTGGGAATAATACAGGTCCTACGAAAAGAAAACCATATATGCGTTAAACGTATTCTCACACTCTTCTCATTGAGCTGTGATCGTTCTCACAATTGTTCGTCATGATACCAAAAATGTAAGCTTTATTTCACTTCTGCATTTTCTGTCAGTGAAAACGCTTAAGGTCTTGCTTAGGGCATTGTTGAATTATACAAGAGTAATAAAATATATATGATATTCTTAGGATAATTTTTACTGAAAAATCTTAGCCATTGTTTTGATAATAATATATCATCAATCAATTATAAGCAAATTGTGGCATGCTTATTGTAAACGTTTGTTTCTAGTGAACTTGGTAATAGATATATCGAACGGTATACTTATGTAACAAGAGGTTAGACAGTACATATACACAAGATCTGTTTGATTCATATCATAACTATACAAGATTGAAGAAAATTGATTAGATACTCGGATCAATTACAAGGATTATTATTAGTTTTACGGTCATTGATGCGTGATTGGTCATACAGTAGAAAGTAAATATAGTATCATTAACACATTACACACCGAAAGAAATTGAATTTCACAGTTTAATTATAAATACTTGTCTATTTCGTAATAAAAAATTATTTTTTTATATATACTTTATTATTGTTGGGGAAATATGTAATTATAAAATATTATTTATTATATATAAATGCAATTGCATATATATGTTATATTGAGCTATCATGATATAATGTTCATCGTTTTTATTATTATAACATGTTTATGTCAATTTCTTGCATTAATTTAATAGTTTCGAAAACAGACAAAAGCTATTATTTCAATGAGTGGCACATTTTACTTAATGTTTAAAAGTAATTTTAAAAAGGAATTGCTTCACAAAAGAAATCTTGTGAGTGAAAATTCCAAATTACTTGTATTTATATTATTCAATAAAGTGCATTTAATAACAACACGATGTACATTAAAAGAAAGTTGAATTTATAGAGTAGGGAAAATCCTTTCTAATACAAGGAAGCTATTTTCTTCGTATTTTACTCTAATCAATTTGTAGCGATATTCTATACATATAAAGATACTATCTTTATCTTGATACATATAAATTCATGAAAATAATTATTTTAAAGAAATAATAACATATAGATATAACAAACGCCAGTTTCGCGTTTTTTCTATTATTTATGACTTTATGATGAAGTAGTAATGAAATACGCGAGCCAAGCGCGCCTTCAATGACTAATCGCTATATGAATATTTAGCAGTATAAGAAAACGAACGATTTATTTGACTGATGTAGAGTTCTGATGTTATCGTGATTGCAGATTTCTTGTCAACAGTAGCCTTGATGAAAATTATGAATGCAAGATAAATTGTCGGAAGAAATCGTCGTTAATCGTTTATAGAGTGCAATATAATTTACACATTTTACAATTTTGACGTTTAACTGCAAGAAGTTAAAATGCAATGAGCTATAAAGAGCATGACTATCACACAGAATAAATAGTAATAGCAAAATAATACGTTTTATTAGGATTTCTATCGCGTGTAAAACTTGAGCGTTAGCAGTTGCGTTGGCTGATTTAAATTGTGATTTATACTACTTAGGCTACTTGTTCAGCATTTCGCCAGACATGTAGTAGGCATCGTTATTTATCATTGAATGTGAACTTGACACTTATTCTGATGCCGTTATGCACATAATAACACAAAACTAGTTGCAAGAATCGAATATCCTGTTGGTGCAACACTTAGTGTTTATACGCACGATTTAAATAACATGTAGTTCAATCAACCTTAGAATTCGAAGAATGCAAACGTCAAAATAACATTGCAATATTCTTAGATCATCACGTTAAAATATCTTTACAATTGTAAACTGATTATATCAAAATGAATTTTAACATAAAGGAAATTCTATTTTCATAAGAGTCACATTTTATATTATAAACTCAATCTTTTTGTTTTTGCAAAAATATTACGATCTATTATATACTTAATATAGAAATGTAATTGGCAGAAACTAAGTGGACGATGCAGTATGTTATAAAAATTTTACCATAATTCACGACGCTGCTCACGATACAGAAACACTAGCCTTTCCTTCCCGTTACACGTGTACAAGTAAATTTCTAGTTAGTCTCGCTGTTCCGGTAAAAGTTCCATACCGTCTAAGCAAGATATAGGTTCTGCACTAACTGCGAAACTCTACAATTCAATTCGGTTTCATTCTTCTCTTATAATCAATCGTTTGATTATACGACAGTAATGCACTTTACCAGAGCATTCCTTTTATATCTTGAATCTTTACGGCCGAGCGAATATAATCATCATAAAAACAAACATTGTTAGATTTGTTAGATTGTCTTGTACAAAATGTTATATAAATAAACGTGGGACAAGTAATGAGAGTTATAGCAATTAATTCTCTAAAATATTTCCGTATAGTCTTTTTGTCAACTTTATCTACCGGGTATTTTATCAACTTTTTATCTACTTTATCCACCAGGTTTTTTAAATTAAAATAATTGAAATTGTTATTAAAATTTTTTTTTAAATTACAATTCTTTCAATCTTTAGTTTATTCTAATTATTGCATGTTAACTACTTTAAGTCCAAAATTGAATTAAGAGTTACATCATTTGGAATTAAAATAAAGAAAGAATAATAATTATCTAGAGTAATAAAATTTTTATTGCGAGTTTATATACTAAAACGAAATTTTTATTGCGAATTTATATGCTAAAACGAAAGTTATGTATTGTTGCATAATCTCGGTGGTTAGTTTTAGTTTTTTTGCAAATATAACATACTGTGCCAAGACTTTTAAGATTAATGCGATAATATATAGAACAGTAATTAGTCTATTTCATTTTTCAATAATCTAGTAAATTCATTTCCAAGAGATATTTTACATTGAGAAAGAACTTTCCAACGATTAGGGAATTCTAAGAGAACAGTGAGTCAGAATGTCTATCTTTATTTCGCAAATGAAACGAGGCCGTTTCTTAACGACGTATGAAAATAGAAGAAAAACATAATAACGAATCATCGTAAATTGCACGATTTTCAGCTTCCTGATAACATAGATGGAGAAACGAACGCTTCCGAAGCATATCGTATTCTTCAATGAGCACTTCGAGAGGTCTAATAATAGAGTACAAATAAAAAAGGAAAGCGTAATTATTTCTTAGCAAGCGTGCACAGCCCCAGTAATAATATAGCGATTAATCATCTTCGAATTATGCAAATTGATGTAGCTGCAGTTGTAAAAGTGCAAAGGTTACCCTGGAAAATCAGTAAAATTCTACAAGAAATCTCACGCGCGGATAATTTACAACTTTATAAAACGTTATAAAACATTACCAATGATACATCCAGCAGTAACCTTAGATGATAAATATAATAAAAAAGTCTCGTTTATTAATCTAAATCCTATGTAGTAGCTTCATAAAATGCTAATAGAAATCGTTACTATTGTCGCTAGTGTTTAAATAACTTACCTCTATTCGATCTCGGATCTCTCATTACTGTCTGAATATAAGGATTAAATCCGAAGAAATGCCTGAAATTTTGCGCCGAGACTCCCGCCAGAACAGCCATGACAAATGCGACTAGAATTATCTGCAAATAAAAGTTTATTTATAAATTCCTATTTCTCATACCAAAAAATACTTTCTTAAGATTAATTTTCAAAAGTGTTTTTCGATCAATTAAAAATTTAATTTTTATTCATACTTTTTATCATATTTTACACACAAAAATTAAAAAAAAAAAAGTTACATCTGTGATGACAAAAGAAGTTATTCATAGAATTCTTTAAAACGCAAGAGTTTTATCTGATCTTAATTTATTATAAAATGTAGAATGCGTTGAGAAAATTGTTGCGAAAAGGAAATGTAATCTACAGGCGAAAGAAAAAAAAGAACAGACCTCACAGATATTTAATCTTACATGTACCTTTGAACTATATTACAAAGTGGCGCAATCCCTCGTTTTGCAGAAACGTTTCTTCGCGAGTATATACGATATAGGACAGGACGCTTAATTGAGAAAGAATCTTTCTTAATGAGTATTCACACGTTCAGAAAATAGACCGGTGATTTACATACAGATCTGAATAAAAAGATAGATGCAAGGAGCTAAAAGCGTGTACTTAACTCATTCTACATATATGAATTGTCGGTTATTAATTATAATAAAGTAAGGATATTTTCGCGTAGCCTCTAATCACTTGGATTCTCATGAAGCAACAACTGCCTGACGAAACTTGCTCTGCGTAACGCAAATGAATCACCGCGGGGATAATTTTATCCGCGTTACAAATGTCCGAAAAATGACTGTTATTATGATAATTATCGGTATTTTACACCAAAGAGTCCCCTCTAGGTCTAGAGTTATCAGGCGCTAAATAATGACACTATCTGTATAATGATACCGAGTATAGACTTTAAATTATCGAGATATAGGCTTTAGAGCCGACAGAAATGTTTTACACAGCCTTGCGTTGAAAACTGCACGCCATAAGACATCAAGTCCCTTTCCCTTTTAATCTGACGGCTATGCATGCGTTCTCTGATTCGAAGTTATTCCGTCCGTGACGAAAGTGTGTGACAATTTTTACGCGTGGTCGACCGCGAACTACGCGCGTTTCTAATATGCTTATAATTCTCACTATAAGCTCAAGAAACTCTAGAACTCTAGCAACTGCTTTATGTACTATTTATAAACAGATATCCATATATTTCATATGCATATACATATAAAAATTATTAATAAATCTCTTCTATTGAAATACTTAGTCTGATTTTATATTCATAATAATTTTGCTTTAACTAACAATCTTTATTATATATTGATGATTTATCAATTTTAGATAATTATTTTGAATTTAATTTTTATTCTTTGCATTAGTCTGGTAAAAATAATCACCTCATAATCAAGTTATCGAAGAGAGTTACAAGGATCAGTGCATGATGCAAATGACATTTGCTTCGAAAATCCGTAATCGCGATATAAATTTCGTAGTTGTTGCGCAAAAATTCGAGAAAGGTGGAGCAATGGGATGGAATCTTTTCATCGGGCTTAATTTCTTCTTCGTTCGAGATCGCGTTCTTCTTACGTAAAGAGCTGATGAAATCGTTACAGCCGATTCACAAATCTCCTCTCGACACTCGAGGCATCATCAAACGCGTCGAAGGACACCGTTTCTAATTACGTAGCTGGGTTCTTGGAGTAATCGCGAATAAAGGTTATCTCATCTCAATCATCGGTGCAATACCAAGTTTGCTGCCGGTGAGTTAGTTTGTCCACGAGATTTCTGTATCAAAGGCAAGGTGAACCGTCGCCACGGCCACTTTCCGCCTTTTTTTGCACGATTTTCTCCTACCGGCGCAATGTCAAGGTGACTACGCGCTCGGTGGTTTTACCTTTAAAAATTCGAATACTGAGTTGTGCACGCGAAATGTTTCTCAATCGTAATTTTGTTGTATACATTGATCGTGTATGCAAGTAGACCGCACGTATTCCTTTCGCGTTGAATGATCAAACAGGAATCTCGAGACCGACAATTATGTTGTTATGTTACAGCTCTCGGATTCTGAGATTTCAATCTGAGAAATCGGCTTGGAGAAGTTTGAATTTAACTGCAGCGAATTGTTTTATACGCTTAGCGACGAACTATATCCACTTAATTATGATAGAAAATTATGAGAGATAAGAATAAGAATGTGGTCACGATTTATTGTCTCTATTTTCTAGTACCGTATGTCGCGACTCATTTGACATTCGACAATTTTGACATATTTAATTCCGAACGCGCGGATTATTATCTTATCTAGGTAAATGCAATAACGGTGGCATATAATTGACAGTTTGACGGAATTATGCAATGATGGCATAAGTTCGGATGGTATGAATATGTCGCTGAGAATAAATACGAGAAAGGGAAGACAGATTAACATCGTGTAGGCTCGGTTGCAGATTGACAACATTTTTAATTAATAACACTCATTAAAAGAACGTAAACGAGTGTTCCACCGTTTACATTCTTTTCTTCGCAGAGCGAGAGGCACGCTTTCTTGTTTCTGATTCTTATCGAGCACGTTCGCGTGTCCCGAGCATAATTCATTTCGTTCATTAGACACAAAACAGCATTGACCTCGCGACCTACGGAAACGGAGTAGTCACGCAGAAGTCATATCGATAAATAGAAATTGACAAAGCACTAGAAAGATTGGACGTAATATGCGTGTAAGATGTCATTAAACCATATTTATGTAGAAAACAAATTTATTGGGGATTTTTGCTTCTCGTTTCGGCGCGAAAGTGAATTGGACAGGACGCACACAAGTGAATTACCATATCTATTCATTATAACAGTAATTTTTTTCTTCGAAACAATCTAATTTTAACGATTAAATCTTTCTCGGAAACTTATCCCGTCGATGTTATCGTTAATATAGTCACGCTATAACAAAATTAAATATAAAAATGGAGGCATGAAATAACGAAAATGATGAGAAAACCCTGATTGCGTCGAATGATGAGTAATTTCTATTTATTATTACCATAGTTTCACATCTGTTTGCATGAGATGAAGACAACGTGCAAAACAATGTGAAGGCAAGGCACTCTTTTTCGCACATTGAAATAATAATTCTCGAAGTTTACGACAGTGAAATAGAATCTTTAAATAGAATAGAAAAGATCAGGTTCTTGCGATTGCGAAACATTAGATCAGTCAAGCGGAAATTCCTTGACAATGTAATAATATTCAGGAAGAATGCTATACCTATAGGCGTAAACCAAAGAAAGTATAATTTAATACGTACATATATTACATATAATACTAATAATTATATTAATTTATGTACATATAATTAATTGTGGTTTGCCGCAAAATAATTTAGAAAAAGAGAGTCGTTGCTCGCCATCGATGGCATCTCCGCCTTCGTTTCTACGAGGTCGCCTATAAAGTGCGACACACATGTGCGTAAGACTGTGACCGGAGATTATGTCGGCCAGATATCTCCGCGAATGTGTGCGGACGATTGCGAGGAAAAACCGCGGGGCTTATTGCAGCTAGTCGCTGTCGCTATATTTCGCGCGCGCGAAAAGACCGAGTCGGCGATTTGTTTTACGGCCGCGAGAATCGATATCGCGCGCAACCGATCGATCGATTGCACACAGCCGATGTGATGGGTGCAATCACGCGCGCGCGCCGATTGTTTCACGCTCAAAGGTTGCACCCGCGCACTCGCTCGTTTACGTTCGTATAAAAAAATTTTTAAAAAACGCAGCGTGTCACAGAAAATGCGGGCGGACAGCGGCGCGGTTTCATTACGCGGGCGGTATTTCATTGTTTTGTCCGGCGATCCGTCGTACGACACGTCGATGAATATTCATCATCTATATGATATAATAACTCATGCAAAACGTGCACACGCATCCCGTTGTCGCAATATTTATGGGATTAGAAGCGACTTTTTTGAAAGATATTGAAGCATTGTAATAAATTAATTCATCGCGTAAAATCTTCGCAACGTGTCACGTGTATATGTGACACGTTGCGAAGATTTTACGCGATAAATTAATTTATTACAAGTCCCGTGTGTGTTGCGCGAAAAAGTTGTCTTTAATGTTAAAATTTATAATTTTTATTTTTCTGTTAAAGATTATTTAGAAGTTCTTACTAGAAAGAGCCTTACCACTTGTGTTATGTGAAAATTAATATTTAAATGACAATTTCCTGTTCTATATATATCGTGAGCCTATTTGTTAATCAATAACAAATTAATTCAGTTGAAATTTTTCTAATAGACCATGTTATCGCGTAATAAATTATTAATTTATTTATATAACTATATTTATATGACAATTATTCAATCATAAGATCTTTACTTGTGCTTTTTTCGTAGAAAAACTTGAAATAAAAACCGGTATAATTGACTTAATTTCACTAATCTGCATCTATTTTGCGCAAATATCACATCAACGAGATATATATATACCATATATATATGTTACCTAACTGTGCGAACATTTTTTATTAATATTATACTAAAATAAAATTAGTATATATATATACATATACATATATACACATAAATAGATATTTGCTTAATTAATACATATTAATTTTTATTACTTTTAAACATCATTTATTAATAATTCTAATTAAACATATTGTTACTTGATATTCTATACCGACTTTCAATTTGGTTGAATTAATACATTATTTGTTTATTGGTCAAAACAAGAGGTTGATCTCTGATAAAGGTATTATACAAAAGCTTAGAAAGTATATGATCAAATATATGCATTGTCAGTGTATTCATGTATATACATATATACTGTACATACGCACATGTTAAAAGATATACTTCCGCGTTTAGCACCGAGTGAAACGGACTGTACTTAACTTGTTCCTGTATCTAGCCATGTAGGCGAACTTTTACACTATTAATATTAATCGATGTAATTAGGTTGTGTTTACGTAGAAAGCAAAAATCGTACAAACAAAAACGGTGGTCGACCACAAAATAATTTGCGATATAATAATAATAACGAAATCTTCAATGCCACATCACTGCAGAGATTAGAAATCACTTCCTTATCTTATA